CTCAACGTCTAGTGTAAGTTGGGCATTGTTACATTGCGCATTGTTACAATATTGCACAATTTTAAATGACATTCTTTTTAATGTMAACCTGCATACTTTGCTATTTTATAGCATCAATAATTGTTGCTTATTTGTACATAATGATTTAGGAGTTAACCCCCAAACAAAGAAGCATTGACTSTAGAGTGAAAGAAGGCTTAGAGGCTCTTGAAGTAGTACCTAAACAAGTCATTGAGTACTACAAACAACTCAGGTATGATATGATGAAAACGGTGGGCTGCCTGTGCACGAGAAACAAATGATCATTTAAGCTTTTAAGTTGGCATGGCAACAGAAATGTTTAGAATCAGTTTTAAGGAAATAAGTTTTTACACAGTGTTTCCAGATGGCTTTAACCATGTGTCAGGCTTGTGTAGCTGATTTTTTTAAGTTTTACTAGAATTTCAAGCTCTCTTATGTTAGTACATTTTTATTTTCAGAGATCATCATGTTAAGAGTGAACACCCTCACTCGTGGCCCATCTGTCACTCATGTTATCAAACATTAGATATCACTATGTTCTCTACACCAACTCCTCCAGGAAATGACAAACTCTCAACAGTACGGTACACTCTCAGAAGACTACTGGTGCCTTTCAGTTGCATGTTGCGTTAGTTCTATTTACTACMATATGATTGCTTATAACTGAATGTTGCTGGTGCAACTGTATTCCTTAATCACAAAGATGCTTAAGGTGAATAAGTTAGAAGAAGAAAATAGTGACTTTTCAAACAAAGTTAAGATGAAAAAAATATTGAAAATGTAAATGACAAAAAATTGTGTCACTCATTTGTGTTAAGTTCAGTTGCGAGTTATCAGATTATAAGTTGTAGCATTTTGCATCATGTTGGTTTGTTTCTGTTCATTTAAGCAACATAGGGATCCCTGTGACCATGTGATCCACAGGCATGTAAATCAAATGAAGCCATGTATTATATCAAAATGGTCTACAAAATCTGTAGGTTATGTGTAGAGAGAAATGTTAGAGTCATATATTAAGAAGAGTTTTGAAATGTTATATTTTTTATATTGCGTTGGAGAAAATGTTTACAAAATAATGTACATATTGGTTTATTTACAATTAAAAGATTTCATGATACAAAATTTCTTTGTTTTCTATAATACATTATAATATATCGTGTTTGTAATGTTGTACATACTGGTTGTTATTTATGATGTCATTGCTTGTGTTTGTAGTTTACGATGGTCTACTTTGTCTAAGTGAACCAGGCTTGAGAAAGTTAAGAAAAACAGATGTTTAACTGGCACAAATTATCACTAATAGTTCTCTAAGTACATTGCTTTTCTTGTTATGCAATAAAAATAAGAAATTTGAATAAGGATACGGTTTTAAATGTTCTGCAAAGGCTTTGATTTCATCACCAACTGAATCCTGTCAACATTACATAATTAATCCATAAACTAGAAAATTATCGTGATTAATTCTAAGGTAAAGCCTAAGTTCAGATGATCTGCATATTAATATACATTAAATACCTGTTGGACTGCAGTCGAGAAGCCAACTTCAACCAAATATGACTCAGATATTAGCTGTAAGTTATTAATTTCACCAGGTGCAACAAGCTAAAATTTGAGGCAAAACATTGGTAAAGCTACTATGCAAGGAGTGATTTTATATCTTGCCTCAGGGAGGATTAGGAGGGAATCAAAGCCAAAGTTAACGCGTTAAACATTATAAACACAGGTAAGATTTGTCATATCTCTTGAACATTTTCCACTGACCTTGAAAATTTGACTGACAGTTATTTTCATGTGACCTTTGTAGAAGTAATAGCCAGTTGAAACAAACTCATAGTCAAACCTGGGGTGAGAGCAGAATCAAATAAATAAGTAATAATAAGTAATATTGTCTGAGAGATGAAAATAGGTACGAGAAAAGGTATGTATCACTGCAGGCTCAATCCTGCTTTAATGCAACAGCATAGCTTCCTTTCAAGAGTGTATTGGGATTTACATACACAGGAGTAGAAACAAATATTATTGTTCCTAGAAGTTTTCAATAATTCCTGGCATATCATACTTAAACCCAATYTCTTCAAGGAAAGCAGACAGATTATCACTTGTTGGTATCTCAACACAACTGCGCAATAAAGTAGCYCTACTTTTGTCACCCATCTCAGCTTGACCAACGTAACGTAGAATCCTGAATTAAAGAATATGTGCTGTGATAACATGAGTGATACAAGTTTGGAAACATTAGCAAAGGATGGGGTATGCTTGGTGCAGTCCTGCCCCAGAACTTGATATATAGTAATAATATTGCTAGTGTAGCAGATCTTTATGTTCTCCCTGGAGAACCACAACAGAGATTGTGATAATGATGAGTAGATGGAGATGATGAATTGATGATGATGATGAATGATGATAAGCATCAACCAAAATGAATGAATACTTAGCAAGATATCTACCATGGAGCAGCCTGATCTACAAGCGAGTGTCTTGCTCGTAGCACCACCGATGTATTGCCATTCCCTAAAGCCAACGTTAAAATGTCAAGATCAAAACATTCATTCCTGGGCTGCCTGTTTTTGATCACACTTACGCAAACTATATACTATTTCATGGTCTGAAAATTTATCCCTTTCATGTGATGTATTATCACAAAGCCCTTCAAGCCTTCCTAATAAATTTTCAACGCTGTCTTTGCTGACAGAGCCCTGGAGAAAATACTCCATCTGAGGYAGTCTTCCTGCCGCCATCTTGAATTCTATTTAGTCACTAGGCTCTTTGGTACTACAATTACACAGGAGCCCCAATAACTTTGTCAATTTCATATCTTTCAACCAGAAAAACCTATTGCAATTTTGTTCAGCTTTTTTATTGTTCAGAAAAATGTTATAGAGTGAGTGGAGTTGCATTTTGGTGCTATTTCGAGAAATGTTGACCTCTGTGCTCAGCGGTTGTATTTATAGCATGCTCCATTCCAAAGTTTTGTTATTGGTGTAAAAGCGCTAAATGTTATTTTTAAAACCTCAATGATGCGATTCTGAGATGAGTCTTAAACTGTTTCAACTAGAAAACTMKAGCTCGAACACGGAAGCAGTGTCGGAATTTACTCGAGAAGTATCCGTAAGCGTTCGGGTAACGCTCGGCTGCCACTCCCATGACGCCTCGCGTGACTTCGAGTCTTGTGCTAGCGTCGCGCTGCGTTCGTTCACAACGCCATCCATCGGTTGCGGACGGACGAGAGAGAAAACCATCAGAATTACCATCAGTAGCGCAAGCCCTAGAGGCGGCATTTAACACCATCAAAAATGACTACGACTGAAGAAATCAAGGTCGAAGAGGAAGAACCAGTAAAGAAGGTCATTGGTAAGTTTTCGCGGCGGGAAAATGAGTTTTGTAAGAGGGACATCGCGAACATGTGCAACTCGAGTGTACATGCGCTCATTTGAATATGCATTTGTCACGACAGTGTTTTCGCTAAAATACACCTCCAAGATGTCTCTGATTGCTTGTTTGGGTTTACTAAAAGCGTATAGGAATCCAATATGTGTTACGAAGTAATTAAAAGTGTCATTTCTATGTTCTAGCCAGCAGAGTTTCGGGTACAGTGAAGTGGTTCAACGTGAAAAATGGCTATGGCTTCATCAACAGGTTTGACCCCCAAAACCTTTAATTTTTGGGCCCTACTAACCGCTCTAAACTCTAATTACTGTATTTTGAAAACATAGGAAGTTTTTTTATACTTAATAGTTAGYGAGAGGGAAGTTTGAATGATGCTAATGTTGTATTTTAAAAGTTTGAGCCACGATGACGAAATTAGCTGTCGTTGAAATTTGCATAACACAGASCTTTGTCACATTGTAATCTGTGTTCCTGTTTCTGTTTTCAGAGATGACAATAAAGAAGACATCTTTGTCCACCAGGTAAAATCAGTGATTATTTCTTTTCTTAATGAGCGCAAAATCATTACAATTTGAGAGTTTTGAATTTGGAGCGTTTCATGGCGTGGATTTGTATGAGTCATGTGTGCCGTTATGGCGTTGGCAATGTCCTATGTTACATGTGTTGTATTTTATCTGAGATCTACGAAAGATTTCGCTAATTGTACTCGACATCGTTGTCAATGACATAATCCAATCTTTCAATCTTTTTTCAAAAATCAAGCAAAAGTGCAATTTCACTTTCATTTTGTAAATTTATTCCAAACTTCAGAAACTTGTTTCCATTCAATCTCAGCATTTACTCTCATTTAATATTGATCAAAAKCTCGTCTTTGTTTTTTTCTTCATATTCTCTTACTATCAATATGTTTTATGCTTTTTCTCTTGAATTGAATAGGATCTGATTTCCAAAACAAGTTAAACATGTAGTCCATTCATTATCAAAAGCACCCAACACACTACCAGCAGTCCTTTGTTCCAAGGAATTTKCCAAGTTCATTGAAATTGTTCAGTTTCTAATTTCTTGATAAGAATTTTATGATAACTAAAATATTTTTCTAAGCATTTTTAACTAGAGAAACTAGAGATTTTTGGAATTCAAGGAAATGTGCTGTTCAGTCTTGGCATTAGATCAGTGCATTCCTTCTATTGATATTTTCAAACAAATTTAAGTCAATTTTGTGATTTTGTTGAATAGTTTAGCRTTTTCATATAGATAATTGAATTCTCTTGCCTCTGGTTTTGGAAAGAGGTCCCATTGGGGGTAGGGGTGGTGTTGGTTTGTAGTAAAAAGACCTTATTAGATTGCATGGTTCAAATGATAGGGGGTTAAATTTGTTATTTTTCTTAGACAACAACAAATATCATTCTATAAGTTTATCAATGATATCTCATGTTGTCATTTAGTCTAAATCTAGTATCTAAAGGGAATGTTCTGTTTATCCAGACTGCCATTGCCAAGAACAACCCTAAAAAGTTCCTTAGAAGTGTAGGAGACGGTGAAGTTGTTGAATTTGATGTAGTCTCTGGCACCAAGGTAAGCACACAATCTCATAATTCAACATTTGAATATRCATTCTTTGACATCAAGTCATAATTATGACATCTAACTTTGTCATAGTGGAGTGGTACTTAAGAACGTCAACTCTGACCTTGCAATGTTTTGGAATAACAATGACTGCACCAAAACCATTTTATTTACAACTCCTACTAATACAGAATGTCTTTTTGAAAGTGTGAATGATGGGAAAAATTGACTGTAACTGTGATTATGGCAAATTATCTTCAAATCACTTCTCTTATCTTCTTCACTCTTTTTTACGCAATCACTCGTCTCTATTAACAATTGTCTCTAAGTGCATCTGTTCAAAATATTAGTATACCAGAACCAGTATTATCTTGCTGTTTTGATAAGTCATGTTTTGCCAGAAAAGTGTTTTCATCATATCAACAGAAAGCAAATGATTTTTTTACTAATTTGCTCAATTTAGTCGAAAACCTTTTCAATTATTGCCTCTTTGTATGTGGATTAGGGTTTGGAAGCTTCTAATGTTACTGGCCCAGATGGAAACCCAGTCCAAGGCAGTAAATATGCACCTGAACGTCGTAGAAGACCTTACAGTTACTACCGATATCGCCGCGGGCGCCGCCCTCGCCCAAGACCAGACAGCGCTACAAATGGCGAGGTGAAAGAAGAACAGGAAGGGAAAGGGACTGAATCTGGAGACAATGCCGACAAACCTCCAAGACGACGGCGAGGGTATGTATTTCTTGGGTTTTTCTGTTATTTATTACTGAGGCCATAAATAATACTTTTTTAAGAAAAAATGTTCTATTTAACAATTAGACCTTGAGGTCGAGTGGATTACAAGCTAATAGCCCATGAGGCCGAGTCCATGAGGCCGAATAGGCTATTAACTCGTAGTCCACGAGGCAGAGAGGTTTAATTGTTTTAGTATAAACATACTAATCCGTCAAATAATGAAAACAAATTGAAATATCCTTAAGATAATTCATTAATGAGATGCCGCCATTTTGATTTTCCCGCAAGTGGTCCATCACAAATTAGAACATTAGTAGAGTAGCCAATCACAGCGCAGTGTGAGTGATAGACCATTAGTATGTTTATACTAAACATTAATATTGTGTGTATTCTATCCTTTAATCATTCTTTTCTACCTGTAGATTGTTATCAACATGATATTTTTTTATATTCTCTTGAACAAAACCAGAAACAATGATGAACCTCATTGAAATTTCTGATAACAATGATTTCTTAATATACGCTCTGAGTTTCTGGGACGCTGTGTTTGTTGTGTTGTTCTTTAWATCATTTATGACTGCTCATTTATGTGCATTTTTTTATTTGATATCTGTAGACGTCCATACTGGATGAGACGCCGCCGRCCTAACAGAAGAGATGAACTTTCTGGAGGAGAAAGTGGTGAAGGACAAACACAAGAACAAAATGGCTCACCACAAGAAGACGGAGAGCAAAGACCTCCCCGACGCCGCCGTCCAAGATACAGAAGACCAAGGTATCTACTGAAAAACTCCACCATAGAGTTGGAATGATAGACTCCTTGCATGTTTGTTCAAAGCATGCATGTGTTCCAAAAATGAAGTTGTGTTACATTCAACTGCACAAAAAACTAGTGTAATAGTGTACAGTGGTTCAAAATTCATCAATATTGCTCTAGAATGACACATGTCTACCTACACGATATATTTCAAGAAGATGGTTTCTTTCTTAGTTTGTAACTTGTGTACTTATTTTACTTATAAATATTCCAGACGTCGCAGTGATAATGAAGAGCGCAGTGACGATCAACGAGAGGACAGAAAGGAGGGCGTAGAAGGGGAAGAGGGAGACAGACCCCCAYGCCGTCGAAGATTCAGACGCTACCCACGCCGTAAGCCTCGCCAACAAGAGGGAGAAGAAGAACAGAAGCCCCCAAGCCAGGAGAAGACAGGTCAAACAACATCAGACGCTGCCCCTGAGAACTAGAAAGATCTATGTTAACCTTAATTAGAAATTTGCTCCAACTAGATTGAACCATGATCGTGTGATTCTCCTACCCTTAACTTGTTAACAATCTTATTTGTCTTATCAAAAGTTGATGTTTTTGTTGTTCTGGAAATGTAAAAGAAAATAGGTTTTGGTAATGGTTTTCTCAGCACTACAAATATTAGGTCATTCCTTACTTTATTTTCTTAAGTTTTTTTAGTTAATGTTTTCCCTTTGTAATTTTTGTATTTGTTGATCATGGTTTGTGTCTATTGTTTGAGGTTTTGTTATCATCTTGTATGCTTGTTCCATCTTGTAAATGTTTAGCTTAAGGATGCCCCTTTGGGCTACCTTTGGCAAAGTATGTATGTGGAAGACTGGACAATACATCGTGTCCATCTGGATTAATAAACAACACGATTGCTTATATATGATTTGTGTGGCTTTGTGTATTTGTTGAAGAAGTTTCAGCTTATTTTTTTTCATAGCCAGCTGCCTCTCGTCCATTTGAAAACGAAACCTGAAGAGAAACTTAGGGTTTGACTTGAATGGACATTGAACAGAGTTATTTAGTCATGCTAAATAACTAGATTTGACAGATGTCATCATCTTTTCCTTGAAGGAATATTCAGTATACTCAAACTTCTTGGGATYCCTGTGTCGAGGCTGATGTGCACACCGAGGGAGTGGACACTGAAACATCTTTTTTTCCAACATCGATACTGTAAAATATTAAAAATGATGTTTTTTCTCAGCCAAGAAGAAAAAAAAAGTTTCAAAGCCTTCCATTCGCAACCTTTCTGTAGGGCTTGTCTTCTGAGAGTTTTYTGGACAGTAAGGATGATAATAGCTTCTAGTCCAGCTCCACAACATTCAACACGTGACTGCATTCCTTCGGAAGGATGGATCCAAAGACATGAAATCTGACACTTCGCACTGTAGCGTTGTCTCCGTCACGTCAAGATGTCCTCAAAAATCCTCCTGATTTCTTGTGGCGTCTTTATAACCATTTTTTCACAAATTGTAACATCCCAGACMCGAGCATTTTCAAAGAGTAAGTACGCGTATATTCGAACGTTTGATCACCATGTTATTTGTTTTCATTATGTAGATTTCAAAGGATTTGTGTTGTTGTTAGATCCCGAAGACCTAGAATTGTTGGTGTTAACGATAGCTACCGAAGAGACAGATGGTTATAAGCGGTTCATGAGATCATGCAGGCATTATAATCTGTCTGTTAGAGTAAGTAGAGTTGTTCAGCTGCTTTCGTGATGGTATTTCAAGTTGTATAACGTAGYTGGCTTGTTGCTTAGCGTTTTGACTTTAGGTACACGTGTCAAACTCTCAGCATCACTTCACAATCTCTRCACATTACTTAAAAAAACTTTCCCAAAGGATCCAATTAATATTTAATGCTAAAAGTCTTTTGATATGCATTGAAATATTTATGACAACTCATCCGTTATAATATCACTCAAACAATAAACACTTACGTAGCATTTTTCTTTTGTTATTTTTAATCAATATATATTAATATTGGCCATTAAATTAATAGCAAAACTCAGCTAGATTTTATAGCGTTGATATTGGTGTATTCTAGTCCATTTCAGCTTGGTTTTCCGTGATCAAACTTTTCTAACTGTACTCAGACTACAAGYAGACCAGTGTTCCGTCATTTGACATTACGGGATCAAATTTCTTACCAGCTGAATTTTGCTCAATGGGTCTTTGATTTACATGGGTGGTAAATTCATGATTTGAAGCACGATTTTGATCATTGTTAACTATTAACTATGTTTTGATCGCGAGGTGCTTTTGTAGATAATACACAGGTATTTTACGCGGATAATCAATATCTCGGCATCTTTTGACATGATCGTCAAATATTTTTTATTTGATGTAAGTAATGGTTTGCGCATTCATTCTCCCATTTTATGATAGCGGACCTACTACACATGTATAAAAATTTACAATAGATATCAATTGATATTTTTGCTTTATATGTGTAATATAAATGTGTTTTTATTTCAAATCTTTGGTTAAAATTTCTGATACATTTGTTCAATAGATATATAAATGTCTTTGCGTGCATTTATTTATAGAATCGCTATTTTATTTTGATTACAAATTTAGAGTTGTTATTTTCAGCGTGCTGGTGCGACAATCCATTAAAATGTCAAGCCCSTTCGGAGGATGTACTTAATCGAGTTTTTGCAAATAAAAGCTTTTTCAGCGTTRCCGCAGAGGCGGTATATCTTCCGTGCCCTAACAAAACTTCACTTTGCCCAAAAATAGAATTCAGTTTAGTCACTTTTAAATTAAATTGCCATCAAAGGTTATCGTTTTGAAATATCATTTTCATATTTTTTTACCCAACTGTATTWCATTGTTACATGCTTTTTGAGGAGAAGTTGTTAGAAGCCACCTGTTGTTACTTTACTCCCAGCTTCCTGGAGTTATAATTGTTTTGAAATGTMCTTTTTGCATTTAATGATTCATAGATATAGTTTGATTTTCTTGATATGCTGATTTGGGATTTATTCTGGAATTTATTCATCCATTCATTTCTTCATTTACTCATTCAGCCATTTATTCATTCACCCATTCTCTTATTTATCCTTCCATTCATTTGGTCATCCATTCATTAATTCAATTATTCACCCATTCATTTATTAATTCATTCATTTATTGATGCATTTATTCATATCATTCCATTCTTTTTATCCCATTATTTTTTCATTATCCCATTTTCTTCAGGTGATTGGTATGAATGAGGAATGGCGAGGTGGTGACGTACAGCGTGATCCCGGCGGTGGTCATAAGATCAACATGATGAAGAAAGTTATTGGTGAATACAAGAACAAAAATAACTTGGTGCTYATGTTTTCAGATAGGTATGACATCACATATATAGTGGGAACTAGCAATAAACTAGTGTGAGCTGTGTCAGTGTTTTCAAAGAAACATTTGTGTAAAAAGACAAATTTAACACCATAAAAAAGTAGGTGAAACAACTTACTGACGTTTTCTGAGGATTAACATTCAAAACATCAGTAAGTTCTTTCACCTACTTTTTTACGGTGTTAAATTTATCTTTTCACACAACAGTACACTGTATACTATATTAAAACAAACAATGTTATYATCAGCAATATTATCAATATTCCCATTATTTTGTTGTAATTTGTTTTCAGTTATGATGCAGTATTTCTTGCAAATGCCAAAACTATCATCAAGACATTTTTGGGGTTTGATAAACAAATGGTGTTCTCAGCTGAAGGATTTTGCTGGCCCAACAGATGGCTTGTGGTACAGAATATAATTTATATAAATTGTTATACTACTTTTTATTATATATTGTTTTGTTAATCTTATTTATTGCAGAGAATTTGTGTGTATATGAATTTATTAAAAAAATCTCTTTCTTTAGGATAAGTATCCAGAAATCTCACATGGAAAAAGATATTTATGTTCTGGAGGTGAGATTGCTTTTAATGGCAAAAAAATAGACAGATGATGGAATAGATAAATGAATAAATGGAGGGATGAAGAAATGAAATAATTGAAATTRATTATCGATTTAATCTTTCAGGRTTTATTGGCTTTGCACCAGTTTTCCATGATGTTGTCACAGATACAGAAATCAACGATGAAGATGACGACCAGCTTTATTATACCAATCTTTACCTTGACGAGAAGAAGCGAGTAAGTCCAAATTGACCACTATTGGAATAATATCATTTATAAATAACAGTAATAAAAATTAATTCATTATTGCAGGAAAAGTATAAGATGGCTCTTGATCACACCACAAAATTATTTCAGAACCTCAATGGGGCAGAAGGTAATAT